GCGTGGACGCCTGGGAGTGCCAAAGGAAGGCCCTCCCCGTGCTAGCTTTTCTGGAGCTATGCTACGCGCTCCAACACCCCAGCCCATTCCCTTAGCTTATTGAAGCCCTAGACCCTTTACTTGATAAACTCTACATGCTGGATTGGGTACCAGTGGCAGGCGTCCGATTACTTCTTGCATCCGAGCAACTTCTGATCCACGAATCGATGCCTCACTTAGGAGGCTCATCTCGATGTAGGTCCCAATATACTTTAACCCTTGTTTCATAGGGCCATAGGGACTCCCAAATAGAGTCCGTACACTGAACCGAAAAAAAACTATATATATATATATATGACCTTATGCAACCCCTTCATATACCCGTACATAGCCCCAAGAACCTCTCTGTAAAGAAACCTCTAATCCATGAGGAAGTAATATAGCCCCAGGCCGAATGAGAGTAAGTATATTCTATTCCTCTAGGGATTCAGGGCTTAAAGTTTTTTAAATAAGTATATTCTATTCCCCGAGGGATTAGGCTTTAGTGTAGGAAAGAGGGTAATTGTATTCCATTCCCCTACTCAGTGTATTTATAACCCAACTCTGACTCAGCTTATAACCCAGCTAGTCCCCTACTATGGCTATGCTTTTGGGTACTGCCCCCACCCAGTAAGAGGTTATAATGAGGATAAGACTAAGGGGTGTATCTATATATATATATATAACTGTATCAGAACTGTTGCCCAACTGTTACTAGGTGAGGGCAGCAAGCTATAATTGCCTTATAGGACTGTATAAGTGCCAGCTGGAGGTGGGTTAGAATTACCCTCAGCCTCCAAGTACACCTCCCCAATGCTCAAAGTGGGTACTATTGATAGTGTTTAAGACCCAAGGGCAGGACTGGACATTATTTCGTTAAGTAAAGACTATACCCTAAACCCTAAACCCCTAAACCCTAAACCCTAAACTCTAAACCGCTATAGACTTGGACCCGCAGGGTGGTGCACATGAGCATTTCGCAGCTCATCGAAATTGGAAGGCCCCTGAACCCTAAACCGCGTAGCTGACATGATCTGGCAGCAAGACGGTTGGAAGTTGGACCCCCGAGTTCCCATGCCAATCTTATAACAATCCTTAGGGGGGCCCATACAAGGAGTAACTGAGGACAACCTCAAACTGAGGTCGCATATGGCCTGCTACCATGGAGCCTCCGTATTTCGGGTCCCCTTGGGAATAAACTCCCCAAAACCCTTATCCTGAACCCCAAACCCTTTGACAACTTGATGGATGCCCCCCACCGCCCTTTCCCTTCCCCTCCGCTGACCCGCCGGGTGCAGCTAAGCCGTAAACTTCATCGGTTTAGAACAAGCGCCCAACACATGGAGGTTCCTCAAAATTAGGAATCAATCTTTGAGCATCTTTTCCAAAGGGTTCTGGTACTTGTGGGAGCACAAGGGGTATACAAAACTAGATGAATGAATCTATATATATATATACATATTCATCTTCATGTATCATGCGGGGGGCAAAAAACACAACGGGTTTGGCGACACTTTACACCTTTCCCTTTCAATCTAGCCCTGTATTCAATGTACTGCTTCTTGCAACAATCGCACCTAACACTTTGTCCCATCTACTGGCTTCCATAACCCTGAAGCCTAGGCCACAGATCCTAACTCGAACCCTCCTCCATGTATTCTAGATCCCTTCCCTGCACCATTTGCCCTAAAACTTGTGGCTATTTCTCAAGCCTCCGAGGGGCGGGTAGGAGTGGTGCGCCATGGCTGCCAATGCACGCGTGAAGGTAGCGTCACGGAGGAGTCGTCCACGATTAATGACGAGCACGTCCTGCACTTTCAATGTGAAACTCTGTGGCCATTGCAGAAGGCCTGTTCAAAAGAATGTAGGAGCTCTTTTGGGTTGAGTTTATGCAACTCAGGCGTCGGCTGGACCAATGGAAGCACGCAATGAAAATGCACCGAACAGCTAAGTACTGTTTGGTGGTAAGATTATGACGGCCTTCTGATGAGATACAGGAACCAAGGTGAAATAACACCTGTCGTTATATTGGGGCTGTAGTATACGTATTGAAAATACCATCCTGATACCGTTTTGGTTGCTCTTTGAGCCCCCACTTATTCAAGATTAACCTTTAGCTCACTTAATATGGAAAGGAGGACGTTCCAACAGTTATGGAGTGATAGGTGTAGAAAATCCCACCAGCAGAATTAGAATTGCCTAGACCCTCCAACTTCGAACCCTCCGGGGCACCCGAAACAGAGTCCGCATGCAAAAGCCATGCCCAGCCCAAAACGGACATTAGCTCGGAAGGTCCAAGTAAACCTTCCGAACCGTTTAGGGTTTAGGGCTTATGCCCTGTATGGTAGTTTCCATAAATCCAGGGGGCCCCAATGTAACCCCAAAATGCTAATGTCCTTTTTGTGGCGACCCCCAGACAAGTTACCCCAGTCTTTCTGGACCCGCTGTATTTCCACATACAAATGAACAGATATGGATATATATATATGTATGTCTCTATTATAGTACGACACCTAATATTTAGGGTACCCAAAAAGGGACCATAATTTTGACAACCACACATATGCATAACTGAAAGTCAGATAAGAACTGTCAGCGAGCCTGGCTCCCTCTGCAAATGCAGAACTAAGTAAGCACACTACCAAACACTAGTGGTTTAGGGTTTAGGGTTTAGGCGCCAGTGCCATCGAGACTAAACCTAAAGCTCCAAACCCCAAATCCCTAGACCAAGGTCTAAAACAATAGTGATTTGTAAGGAGAGTTGAGAGGGACAAGGATGTTATCTGCTTCTCATTTGAAATTTTCCTTGTCACGGTAATCAATGCTGGTAACTATATGGGGCCGTAGATTGTGTCCTGACTGTCGCTTGAGTATTTCATGAGGTTTCTTCTAAGTCCCGGTATTGTGGCACTCCCGGTAAGAATCAGAATTGTTGTATACTTAGGGGATCTTGGGGGTATCCAGGGAACGCCAACTTTCGAAAACTGCAAGCGAGCGTGCAAGCCTATCGAGTAGCCTCTTTAATTGGGACCCCAGCTTATGAGTCCTTGTCTAAACTCCTAGTATCCCCCTTACAAATCCCTATAGTAGTCCCCCATATAGTCCCCTATATAACCCCCTTTAAGGAGTTTAGACTACAGCTCATGTGAATCATAAATATGCAGATGCAGTCTTTGAGCAAGAACTAAGGGTTCCCTTTTAACGAACAGACTGGGTTGGCCCCTAAAACCCTTTGAAAAATATTAGTATATAGGGTCCCTTATTAAAGCCATTAGGGAAAATATCAAATATCCCAGGGGCCTACCCAGTAGAACTAGTTAAGGGTTCTCTTTTAGCGACTAGTTATGCAGAGATTGATTTGAGAAACTCCTAAAGACGAGACCAAAGCCCCCTTGGACCTGTGTACGTAAGCTGCATCGACGGCGCGCTTTTTTGCGAGTGCTGCTTTGAACTCGCAGCTTTACTAAAACCCCCCTACACCCTAAACATTCCAAAGCCTCTTCTTAGCAGGGAGGCGGGGAAGCCTGTTTCAAGTCATCGTAAGAATGTTCTTTGGATGTATGAGCTAGGGTCAACACTTCTTTTATGTAGTAAGTGCACATGGGCCATTATTCGGTCGATATATATATATATACACATCCAGACAGGACAATGTCAAACTGCCGAAGGAACCCCTGCGTCCACCCCTAATGGTCTCTTGGTACCCTAATTACTATATATTGACAGTAGCCATGTAAAGAGGGGCCCATGCCGTCCCTGCTAATCGAAGCCAAGTTCTACGGGCATGTGAGGATCCCCCTCAACTGTTTGTTGTTTTGCATGCTCGTAATAAGATCATGCTACAGACCCTCGTCTTTTGAGGAAAGGCTGCCAAGGCATTTCTACCCTTCGCTGTTTTATGGTACCTGATGTTGTCTAGAGAAGATACTAGGCATAAAGTTAGCTACCTTCAAAAATGTAGGTCATAAGGGTCTAGGCAGCGTGGGGGAATCTCTCATGCGTGTGCTAAAGCCTGGCGTGCTGCCAGCGTCCGGGTTGCTGTCAAGGAAAGCCGCGGCTTCAGGGCCTGGCTACCATGGGCACTTGGCGCTCCTGAGGGACAAGGCCATGAACATGGTACTGTTGATGGAGGAAATCTTGCACCACTTAGAGCCTTAGAGCCACTAAACTACTGTAAGTCCTAGGACTTTAGGGACTTCAGGTGGTGTAAAATTTCATCCATCAACAGAATCCCGAGCCCTAGGCTCGACTAACGGTTATATTGGGGATCTACTGGGGTGGTTATATGGTAAAAGTTTTTGTTTTTTTTTGTCTGGTCTTTTTTGTTGTTGGAGCTTTTCGGGTGTATTGTTTTTGCTGTTTGGGCGGTGGCGTTTTTT